ACGATCACCAACTTACATTTTCCAACACCAGACTTCCCAGGAATCCTAAGGGCCAAAAATGTAAGATCCCTATTGTAAGGCTTCCAAAACCTGTATTATTTGCAGTGGAACCTGCACCTCGAGATCATCAACTTACATTTTCCAATACCAGACTTCCCAGGAATCCTAAGGACCCAAAATGTAAGATCCCTATTGTAAGGTCTCCAAAACCTTCATTTTTTGCAGTGGAACCTGGACCTCAATATCACTAACATACATTTTACAAGACCAAAATGCGCAAAGGCATTGCTAGACAGAATGTACAAAAGAAGGTGCAATCCACAAAATAAGAATTTCAAAACACATATAATACTATCATTCCCAGGGGGTCCCAGGGGCCAAAAATGTAAGATCCCTTTTGTAAGGCCTCCAAAACCTGCAGTATTTGCAGTGGAACCTGCACCTCAAGATCGTCAACTTACATTTTCCAAGGCCAGAATTCCCAGGAATCCTAAGGGCCAAAAATGTAAGATCCCTATTGCGAGGTCTTCAAAACCTGCATTATTTGCAGTGAACCTGCACCTCACGATCACCAACTTACATTTTCCAACACCAGACTTCCCAGGAATCCTAAGGGCCAAAAATGTAAGATCCCTATTGTAAGGCTTCCAAAACCTGCATTATTTGCAGTGGAACCTGCACCTCGAGATCATCAACTTACATTTTCCAATACCAGACTTCCCAGGAATCCTAAGGACCCAAAATGTTAGATCCCTATTGTAAGGTCTCCAAAACCTTCATTCTTTGCAGTGGAACCTGGACCTCAATATCACTAACATACATTTTGCAAGACCAAAATGCGCAAAGGCATTGCTAGACAGAATGTACAAAAGAAGGTGCAATCCACACAAAAAGAACATCAAAACACATATGTCACATAAAATGCTACAATTCCCAGGGGGTCCCAGGGGCCAAAAATGTAAGATCCCTATTGTAAGGCCTCCAAAACCTGCAGTATTTGCAGTGGAACCTGCACCTCAAGATCATCAACTCACATTTTCCAAGGCCAGAATTCCCAGAAATCCTAAGGGCCACAAATGTAAGATCCGTATTGCAAGGTCTTCAAAACCTGCATTATTTGCAGTGAACCTGCACCTCACGATCACCAACTTACATTTTCCACATCAGACTTCCCAGGAATCCTAAGGGCCAAAAATGTAAGATCCCTATCGTTTGGCTTCCAAAACGTTCATTCTTTGCAGTGGAACCTGGACCTCAATATCACTAACATACATTTTACAAGACCAAAATGCGCAAAGGCATTGCTAGACAGAATGTACAAAAGAAGGTGCAATCCACAAAAAAAAAAATCTAAACACATATAATACTATCATTCCCAGGGGATCCCAGGGGCCAAAAATGTAAGATCCCTTTTGCAAGGTCTCCAAAACCTGCATTATTTGCAGTGGAACCTGCACCTCGAGATCATCAACTTACATTTTCCAATACCAGACTTCCCAGGAATCCTAAGGGCCAAAAATGTAAGATCCCTATTGTAAGGCTTCCAAAACCTTCATTATTTGCAGTGGAACCTGGACCTCAATATCACCAACTTACATGTTACAAGACCAAAATGCACCAAGGCATGCTAGACAGAATGTACAAAAGAAGGTGCAATCCACAAAATAAGAATTTCAAAACACATATAATACTATCATTCCCATGGGGTCCCAGGGGCCAAAAATGTAAGATCCCTATTGTAAGGTCTCCAAAACCTGCAGTATTTGCAGTGGAACCTGCACCTCAAGATCATCAACTTACATTTTCCAAGGCCAGACTTCCCAGGAATCCTAAGGGCCAAAAATGTAAGATCCTATTGCGAGGTCTTCAAAACCTGCATTATTTGCAGTGAACCTGCACCTCGCGATCACCAACTTACATTTTCCAACACCAGACTTCCCAGGAATCCTAAGGGCCAAAAATGTAAGATCCCTATTGTAAGGCTTCCAAAACCTGTATTATTTGCAGTGGAACCTGCACCTCGAGATCATCAACTTACATTTTCCAATACCAGACTTCCCAGGAATCCTAAGGACCCAAAATGTAAGATCCCTATTGTAAGGCTTCCAAAACCTTCATTCTTTGCAGTGGAACCTGGACCTCAATATCACTAACATACATTTTGCAAGACCAAAATGCGCAAAGGCATTGCTAGACAGAATGTACAAAAGAAGGTGCAATCCACAAAAAAAAAATCAAAACACATATAATACTATCATTCCCAGGGGATCCCAGGGGCCAAAAATGTAAGATCCCTTTTGTAAGGTCTCCAAAACCTGCAGTATTTGCAGTGGAACCTGCACCTCAAGATCGTCAACTTACATTTTCCAAGGCCAGAATTCCCAGGAATCCTAAGGGCCAAAAATGTAAGATCCCTATTGCGAGGTCTTCAAAACCTGCATTATTTGCAGTGAACCTGCACCTCACGATCACCAACTTACATTTTCCAACACCAGACTTCCCAGGAATCCTAAGGGCCAAAAATGTAAGATCCCTATTGTAAGGCTTCCAAAACCTGCATTATTTGCAGTGGAACCTGCACCTCGAGATCATCAACTTACATTTTCCAATACCAGACTTCCCAGGAATCCTAAGGACCCAAAATGTTAGATCCCTATTGTAAGGTCTCCAAAACCTTCATTCTTTGCAGTGGAACCTGGACCTCAATATCACTAACATACATTTTGCAAGACCAAAATGCGCAAAGGCATTGCTAGACAGAATGTACAAAAGAAGGTGCAATCCACACAAAAAGAACATCAAAACACATATGTCACATAAAATGCTACAATTCCCAGGGGGTCCCAGGGGCCAAAAATGTAAGATCCCTATTGTAAGGTCTCCAAAACCTGCAGTATTTGCAGTGGAACCTGCACCTCAAGATCATCAACTCACATTTTCCAAGGCCAGAATTCCCAGGAATCCTAAGGGCCACAAATGTAAGATCCCTATTGCGAGGTCTTCAAAACCTGCATTATTTGCAGTGAACCTGCACCTCACGATCACCAACTTACATTTTCCACATCAGATTTCCCAGGAATCCTAAGGGCCAAAAATGTAAGATCCCTATCGTTTGGCTTCCAAAACCTTCATTCTTTGCAGTGGAACCTGGACCTCAATATCACTAACATACATTTTACAAGACCAAAATGCGCAAAGGCATTGCTAGACAGAATGTACAAAAGAAGGTGCAATCCACACAAAAAGAACATCAAAACACATATGTCACATAAAATACTATCATTCCCAGGGGGTCCCAGGGGCCAAATATGTAAGATCCCTATTGTAAGGCCTCGACCTCAATATCATCAACTTATATTTTCCAAGGTCAAAGTGCCCGATACCACTGTCAGAAAAGCTTGAACTATAAAGAATATTTTAAAAGTGCATAGTGTTGAAAGGATTGTTTCGGGGGCCCGCTTTGTATATAAATTGGCCAGAGCACTCTGGGCAGAAGCTGCGGCTGACTTCTTGGGAGCTCGGGGTAACATGTCCAAGGGGGTACTGTAGTATGTTTCTTTAACATGCTAGAACTGTTACCTTTGCTTCTGTTTTTTCCCATGAGGCCCCAATGTTTAGTGACGTCCCAAGAAGTAACTTACATTTTTTGAGACATGGAGGCTGTCACAGAAATCACACCTTCAACAATATAAGTTACGTTAATCCTTGCACCAACCTTGTTTGAACAGGTTATAACTGTTACCTTTGCTTCTGTTTTTCCCCCATGAGGCCCCAATGTTTTGTGACGTCCCAAAACTTAACTTATATTTTTTGAGAAATGGAGGCCTCCACAGAAGAAAAACACCTTAAAAAATGTAAGTTACATTTAGGAAGGTTTTACCTCAAAAATGTAATGTTGCGTTTTGGGGCCTCTCCAAATTTCAGAGGGACCTACCCTAAATGTAGCTTACATGTTTGAAGGTGCTGATTGTTTGGGTTTTTCACGAAATGTAAGTTACATTTTGGGGTGTTCCCCCCCTGCCAAAACGGTAGGGATCGTGTAAGCTAAAGGTGCTTTTGCCAGTAGTTGCCCATGCCGCCCAAATCCAAACCCTTCTCCGATCTTGGTCATTGAGCGCCAACGAATTTTGATAAAGACCGTGTCCGACATTCTCGAACAGCACTGTCTAGTCGCACTGTCTAGTCTTTCTCTTGATGAAGCCCACCTCTTGTTGAACAAGGTTTTCTCCAGATGTCAGTCTGTCTTGCCTGGCCTGTCCGGTATTAGTGGTAAGTGTGGTCAGTTTGTCTCTTCTTTTGGTGACCTGCGCGCTTCCGTGGCTGAAGCCTTCAAATTCTCCAGAGTCACATCACCATCAGTCAGTGTGGCGGACTTTCCACGTCCTAGCCTCGTGCATGGGAATCCGTGGGCCCTCAAGCCGGAAATGGGACTGAACTTACCAGAAAGTTTGCAAGCCAAAAGGCACACAAGAGTTCCAGCATGCCTTTGCCCAAACGATCCCTGGAAGAGAAATTTTCCAGCTATGCCCGCGCTCTCAGCTGGGTACTGTCAAAAAAACTTCGTCAAAAAACGTCGTCAGCTTCGCGCTCTGCGAGTTTCTGCTGGTGGTACTTCTTCATCATTTTCTTCCTCTTCTTCCACGTTTTCATCGTCCACTGCTTGATTTTGCCAATCACTACTTCGATTCTTGCATGTAAAAGTTGCTCCGCGTAAGCCAAAACTGTGGTGACGTGCTAAAAGTTGTAAGCGCAAGGTTTGCGTAAGGTACTATAACATGCGTAAGTAAAACTTGCACGCGCGTAAGCAAAACGTACGCAGCAACGTAAGTTTTTCCTTCTTTGGTGCCGCCATGCAGGACATTTAAAACACAGCTCACATGAAAACAAATAACTTATGAAGTTGTTTGTGTGTTCGACATTGCTTAGCCACATATAAATATTTCACTCGTAAATAACCCTGAACGGAATGCTGCGGTCCAATTCCTACATTTCCCACCTAGGACTCCCAAGAGGTGTGGCCAGAAGACCCGCACGGCGACACGGAATGGTATGGTGAAGGCAACACTACTTGGCGGGGCGCCAACGCTTCTGGCCGAGCCTCCGGTTCCAAAGGGCGAGGCCGTGGCCGCGGGGCCAAAGCCTGGGAACATGAAAACTATACCTACGATGGCCATGGGCATTGGGAACAGAAACTTGGTCGGAATCGAGGCAGAAAATTTCGGGGACACGCGATGACACGCGTAATCAGCTCATAACCATTTCCAGACAGGACCCGGTTGCCTCGCTAAAGAACAATGGTTATAAGAAGCGTACAGTTTATAGCAACATTCGCGATGCGAATGCGCTAACGAAAGCGTGAGTGAATGAATGAAGATTGAATGGATCGATCAACCAATATATCACTTGAAACACCCATGATGGATTCAATTTCATTTCGTCAAGCAATGAATCAACCAACGTTTTGAACCAATGAATCAAATAGGGAAGGAAGAAGGCAATCAATGATCCCATGTCCATGAGTGAAGCAATGATTTGGCGAAAACAACCAACCAATGAAGCGGAAAATAAATGAACGGATCGATGAACAGAAGGAAAACTTGGAGGATCTTGGAGGCGTCTTTGTTGAATTACTTCTTCAGTGAACCCCCTCTTGGCCGAGGTGTGGTTCTCAGCCGGTTTTTCTTTTAACAATTTCTTATCTGGGTTGTTGTTTCTTTGGCCCGCTTCTGTTCTCAGCTGTCCGCCGTTTTTCTCAGCTACCTGCATCTCTGTCGTTGTCTTTGTTCGGCCCGTACAATGCGTTTTCCCACCCTAGCTGCGCCCCAAAAAGGCGAACGTGGCACCATGTTCAGAAGACCTTTTCGTTCGCAGCGAGCTGTGACATTGCGTTTAACCAATTCCAGCTGCAAGCTCACAAAGCAGGAAGGACTCACCATTGCAAACGCTTTCTTGCGTGCAGACGTGCCAATGCAATTTTTCACCAGGCACCAGCACCCCCGCATGACACGAACGCACGATCGAATTGATACCACTTCAGATTAAAAGCAGTTGGTGCACAAATCCCGGTGTTTCTTTTTCTTTAATATGAAACTGACGTTTGAAACCGACCTCTCCCTACAGTCTCGTGCGATTTTTTTGCCGACGGCTTTCCAGATCGACCCCCGAAATTGCAAAAACACAGCCTATGCTCATGAGCCTGCGGGCCACAATACTTGTCAAACCACAAGGGCTTCGCGTGTTTCTCGGTTTTCACCTGCAAATTCACGGGTCCCAAAACTTTCGACTTCCCAACTAGGCGATGATGTGGTTCAAATATGTTCACACAACATTGTGAAGGCTAATCAAAAGTGGCGTCCGTATCTGCGAGGTTTGCTGGCAAAACATTTTCCGGCAAATAGCAAATACGTTTGCAGCTGTTTCCCTTGCCATCGTGAATGCAGCACGCAAGGACCGGGCAGAATGGCAATTGGGACAACCCCAAGGCCGGGTGTGTCCAGGATGTCTGCAGTGCACAAACCAGGTCAGTGCCAATGTTGTTTACCTGTTTTTGTTGTTGTGTGTCGTTAGCCATGTGTTTGGGCTGGAACTTGTTGTGCGCGGTTTCCACCGCCACATTATTTCAGGGTAAGATTGCACATTCGCCCGGGGCAAGGTTCAGCCTACCCCCACAGGAACACACAAACCCAAATGTTCGTCCCATGCAAGTATAGTATAGTCGGGCAGACATGCCAACAGATTGGCAACCTATTTTGGGGCGTTTTGTTGCAGTGGACGGCATTGGACGGCCAATCCAACTTGCAGCCGTTGACACAGAGACACGCTGTGGACAGACATTTGGATGGACGGATTTGTTCGCAAAAATCGGTATACTTTTTTTTGGGGGGGTGATGTTTTGTCACGGTTGTATATTCATTTTCTATTGGCTAGCCGCCTCTGGCATTTTCCGGATTTGTAATGATTTGTGTTTATGCATTGGGGACAAGACCTCCCAGTTGGTTCCGCCAGCGTTGGCCGCTCGTGAGGCGAAAAAGGGTCGTGACAAGAAAGGAAAATGGAGAGGCCCAGACACCAGCCGGACACTTCAGCAACCCCGAACATGCTGCCAAAATGTTAGCTGTGCGCATTGTTTTTGATTTTTTCATTACCTCCGAAAACTGTGTTTTCCAACGGTTGCGTTTTAGATTCTTTCATACCGGATCATACCGGTATTGCGTGGTGCCCGGCCATCACCTGCACATAGGCTACATACTTCAGCTGATTTGTCAATTATCATGTTGGCACTCCAATCTGGAAAGGTTCTACCAGTGTAATTTGTGATGTAAGAGGGGTTTACATGCGATGTTTTCATCTATTTGCCTGGTCCCTGCCATCCCGCGCGCATGGGCAACATATTTCATCTGATCTACCAAACACTTATCTGCAAACATGTTGGAAAGATTCTACCAGTGCAAATTGTTATTTCGGAAGTTCTAAGTGCGAAAGTCCCCACATGAAACCCTCATCAAGAAATATGTTGGCACCACTCCAATCTGGGAAGTTTCTACCGGTGTAGATGGTTTTTTTAAAACCAGGTTTTACATTCGAAAATCTCGCCTATTTGCCTGGTTCCTTGCCATCTCTACCACTGGTTATTATTTAAGAGGTTCTAAGTGCGAAAACCCCGACCTACCTGCTTGGTTCCCTGCCATCCTGTGCGCATAGGCAACATACCTAATCTGATCAATAAAGCCTTTATCAAGAAACATGTTGGCACTCCAATGTGGGAAGGTTCTATGTGCAGGTTGCTATTTAGGAGGTTCCAAGTGCGAAGACTGAACCTATTTTCTTAGTTCCTTGCCATCCCGTGCGCGTAGGCAACATACCTAAGCTGATTCATGCCAAAAAAAATATCAACAATCTAGGAATTCCATTCTGGGAAGCTTCCATCAGTGTAGATTGTTATTTAGGAGGTTCTAAATGCAGCCCTCCCCACCCATCCAGCAAGACATGTAGTATCATGTAGTATTCAGATGTAATCAGCAATTTTTATAGCATAATAAGTAGATGTAACATGCGTACGAGGAGGTTCTAAGTGCAAACAACCCATGGGGTTCTAAAGTACTGGTTTTTGGTTCTAAACCTTTTTTTTTCGCAGCCTTCAAGTATTACATTCAATTTGCATTTTTTAATAAAAGGTTCTAAGTGGGAGCATACTGTTTATATGTACAATGTATTTCGGCCAGTGGATGGGCATTTGCAGCATTTCACTGTCGAAATGTTGAAATATGATACGTGTGGTTTTGGCCCGTGAGCACAAAATTTTTCGGCGCCAAGATTTCGAACAATAGGCGGCTAACTGAACCGCACAAACTGTTGGCATAAAAGCCAACGCGTGGTGAGGAAAGGCGGACATAGGATATTTTTAGGGGCATTCATGCGTCCCAAAAGTTCCCAGTTGCAAGCATGCCGGCCCAGTGTCACAACCACATTCAAATTTTCATCAAACAACGGCATTGCAATGGGCGCATCCGCGGGTGAAAATGATCATTGGCAATTTGAACTGGCACCTGCGGTTGCAGGTAGCAAAGGAGCCGAAGAGGAGACAACAGCAGCTGGACCTGCACATGCTGCAGGTTCTCCGAAGCAGCAATCGTTTTATGAAAAGCCGAAAGGCAAAAAGAGCGAAACTTGGCAAGGTGCATGGTCGTCATCAGCATTTGATTTCAGTGGCATGGTTCACCATCGATACATCAGGAGCTGGCCCATCGATACGTGAGGAGCTGGCAAGTACCATTTAGGAATCTTGAGCACCTTCATGTTTCACAGTGGCAAACTTTACAAACCTGATGCTGACATACGCGTACTTGTTTTGAAGTGAGCTGGGTGGTTGCCTTTGGTGCACTTTGGGATGTTGTGGTTGTTACGGTGGGTGCTGGTTGACACAAGATACCCAAGGACCACAATTTCAGTAGGAACCGAACGCATGCGTTGCAATAATGCGGTTTTGACTGCAACTGCGCATGCGCGGGTTTCATTTATCTGCAAGACCTTCGCTTTCCCCTTGGTAACCTTTCATGGAAATAGAACATCACCGCCAGGTATGCCCGCCAAGATCCATCAAAACACTTTGCATGCTGGAAAACATTCCTTCAAACTCAAACTGCTTAAATACATCACCCGGTTTAGCTTTAAGTATATTATAACACGCACATGGTCTATGTTGAGGAATGACTGTGAAATTGGTGGGGCAAGCGAGCAAGGACACGCATGGCTCCGGCGGTCGTGCTGAGAGCGACCTTGTGGCGCAGCTTGGGTACAAGATTCGGCGGTAACCTGGGGCATGAAATTCGATCCAGGTTTAGCAGGATATATTATGATATATCCCTGGTGCTCCAAATACTCTCTGAGAAGGTGTTTAGACCCAAAAAAAACACTCCAAATACAATCTCAGAAAGTGTTTGGAGCTGTAGGGTATTATCTATCGTCACTCGCATGTCATGGATCCCAAGGCGGTATATGATGGTAAATGAGGTTTTATCCAAATTTATGTATGAATCAGTAACTTGCCAAACATCCTGGGGGATGAGGATCTGTATAGACAAACTGAAAAGGAAGTTCTAGTATGAACTATTGGAAAAAACACGTTGATTGGGATGCACGTCCAATATTTTTTTCACCCACGGCAGGTCCACATTTTACTGATGATGTCACATTGCGGTTGGTTTCCCCCCGCGAACCAGACCCAGTTTTACCACCAGACTATATTCGAACATTTTTTTGGGGCAAACCCAGCGTATAAAGTTTGCACTTCTGTTAGGTAACATGTTTGTTGCAGGCAGAATGTTAGAATAAACGCCAGAGAGAATGTCAGTCGGCGGGTGTGGCTGGAAGACGGCAATGTTCTTTCCAACTTCCCCGTGTACTGCACGCATTGCACGAGGGGCCCACAATGATGCCATGCAGGGCAGCCACGACATGGCACCAACCGTTAACCGTTACCAACCCTTCACTCGCAAAGCGGCTTCTAATCAGGTGTCGCTATTTCATATATGATCAACCATCAAAACATCAACAAATAACAACCCCCAAATCGTCCCTATTTCAGGAAGAGTATGCCTGCGCGCTTCGAGGATAAGACAATGTGGACCTCATGGCTGAAAAAAATCTGAAAAGTATTGATGGTTTTGTGTTTGCAACACGACCACCCAAATGACATATGCTTGAAATGAAGCGTGCTGTATACCTGGCCAGCCTCGGGGTACTGCAGAAAGTGCTGGGTCGGTTTGGTTTGAAGATCTGGGTTTGAGCGCTTGTTTTTTTCAAAGAAACAATTTCTCAAAAGCGAAGCGAAGATGAACTTATCTAAAATTCAAATGGTCCTGGTTCTGTTTATAGTTTTTCCCAGCTCAGTCACGTACATCCTGTCCAAAATTCAAACCTTGTTTGGGCGGTAATATCCAGCCTTGTGCTGGTTCAGATTTATGTCCTGACCTCTGGTTTCCTTGCCAAGGACCACGGAAAGCATCGTGGCCGAGGAAACTCCAGAAAAGACCAACAGGTGCGTTTAACATGTGAAATCTGTCGCCGCTTGTTGTGGGCATGAGCCAAGGCAAAGAGTACCTATGAGCACCAAAACTGTGTCATTTTTGTTTTGCACATGCTCTTTTGAGTTGACAAATTTGACCTAAGGCCATGCGTAGAAACATCATAAATCAGAGGTGCCAAACTTTGTTGGGCCAGGTTCCTCCACATCTGTTCGCGTTTGTATTGTTGGTGGGGTTGGTTATTTCCAGTTCTCGGCCGGTACGATAGATTTCCCAACCTCATTGAAGGTATTAAGAAACGGCCATGTTTCAGATGCCTGGATAACTCCATTGCAGCGAAGATTCGCCCTGAACACCGGAAACCAGGGACTGTGAGTGGGCATGCCGATGTTTACCGCCCCCATAAATGTTCAAGTGAAGAATCATCCTTTTGTTAGTTCGTTTGCTCTCGATATCCTCCACTATTAGGGTGTGTTCCAACAAAACCCACCGTTCCATGCAGAGAATTCGCAGGGCTTGGAGGAGTAAAAGGGTGGAAAACAAGCAGAAGGCGGAGAAGGAGAAGGAGAGAAAATTGTGGACATCGATGCTAGCCATTGGAGGTCTTCCATACAGTTTGGTTTGAACCGTACTTGGGATAGTTGTTCGATTTGGTTAGTATTTGAGGAGTTCCTGAAACCACCAGCTAGTAAGCAACCGGGATGTTTTCTTGCAAAATACTTGACGTATATCAGCAAAAAGATGGGCATATGACCAAGGCCGATTGTGTGACCTAGAAGCATTCATTGCGAAACTCAGTGATGAGCACGCTGCCTTCAAGCGCAGCAGAGCCAGAGAAACTGAACCCACCTCTTTGTTGGTGAGCAGTGCAAACTCCAAGGAAGTACTTGGAATTACTTGGATGTCATATTCCCGTTCAAAGGGAAATGTTGTTTTCTATGGTTACCATGGTTTTCAACACTTGGAAGTTCAGGCCATTGCCTTTTTGATGGATAGCCCTTTTGGGCATTGGCTGATGGCAGTATGAATATCTAGAACTACCGGGCTGCTTTTGGCCTTAACACCACTATATCTGGGTGAATTGATCCAAACCCCATCCCTCAAGAACTTTGAAGCAGTTTTTAAAATCATACGCGATCAAATCTCATCAGCCCATGGTTTTTAATTATTTAAATCGGGATTGAATCGTGGATTGCTTTTGATATTTGGACATCTCCTGTAGAAATAGCTCGCCGGTTGCTTGCACAGTTGGGCATTTCAAATACAAAATAGCGTCAAACCAGCAACAAAACGGCGTCAAAGCACTGGCTTAAACATGTTCTACTATCAATAGCGCTGGGATTGAAATGTCCACAAACTGATTCGAGAATAGGTGCAGCTGGCTCAAACTGCCCATTTTTGCGAAGGTAGTTTTTGGTCTGAGTTTTGGTGCTGCCAGGAGACTGGCGAAGGTGCTGAGAAACCCAAAGCCAAGGAGAAGAGTGGAGGACGATTGATCATGAGGGAGCATGTAGCGGAGTGGGCCCATAGGAAGCTTATGGAAATATGTTGGGATCAAACGATCATACAAACATCTTCCTCACCAGGGCCAGCGTGAATATTGATTCAATTGGGTGGATCTTATTGGCTGGTGGTGTCAAATAGTTTCCTACCTTGATTTAGGATGGTGATCCCCAATTAATGCTACTTGGGCGGAGGGCGCAGCCGCAAAGCAAATCAAAATATGAAATAGCCAATTAAATGAACAGCATCATAGAAAAGCATTTACCACCATGTAGATGATGATGTTGTATCGTGCTGATGGAGATCCAGTGCCTAGATCCTTGACAGCAACTTCCAATGTTCCACCCGACACGTTCAATGGCCATTACGACGGATTGAGGCCTCGACAAGTTTGGGTGGCAGGAAGCAAGATTCCGAAATTCAGAAAAGGAGTAGATTACAGCGTAAAGAGGTTATGGCCCAAATCCTTTCGGGATGGTGTCAAAGTGGATGGCTTGGTCACAGCAAAGCTGCGTCCTGGGAAGAAAGCAGGCCTTCTTCCAACGCAAACGCTGTGTGGATCGATCGTGGCCGCTGAATTTTCCGGTGCACTAGTTTCACTTGAACTATAGATTTTCAAGTTTCCGCAGTTCAAATCACAAGCAAATCCCACATGTACCCGGCCCAAATCATTTACCAGCCATCTTTTGTAGTGTTATTTGCAGTGCCCGTTTTGGTTGCATACGTGCTCGTGGATTGGATGGAGCAAGCAGTATCTAAGAAATCCATTGAATATTGTTGGTTGAATTCAAACCCTTTGTGAGTTGCACAGTATACAGTGATGTTGGTTTGACCTACTCCTCATGGATGTGATTAAGTTCACCTGAGGAAATCCATTGAATAATTTTCTGGGTTGAATAAACCAACCATGGCTGTTAAACCCCCATGTTTGATGTTTTACTTGTATTCCTGGCCGCTTACACACGCAGTTTTTTGGGTTCTTACATCATTGAAACTGTTTCCCCATCATTGGAAACTTCGAGGATGGGGCGACGGCCTCACCCGGGAGGCAAGGGAGGGGCTTTGGGCTAGGGGATGTTTGCGATCGAAATTTTAGGGTTGAAAACGTTGGAACCATCAATTTTTTGGGTGCCATATATATATATATTTATTTATGTATATTTTTATCTACATACATACATATATATATATATAACAATACAGTAATAATAGTCTTGGCTGGCGGTTTAAAAACCATGAACTTGCAAATGAGTTTGAACCAACAAACACAGATTTCAGAGATAGAACGTCCTATGTTCAGATCATGGTAACATGAGACATGTGCAATCCCCATTGCCGGGCCCATTGCCGGGCTTGCGGAAACATTTGCATATGACCCCTGTCAAGCGAGAGATGCAACTGAGAGGATATTTTGTTTTTTGCCTGCAAACAGTTTGCGCACAGCCAGCCAGCCTAAGTCTAAATCAGGGTGTGAGTTGGGTTGACAGATTTCAACATTTGTGTGAAGCAGAAAAGGTTTTTCCCACCCCCGAAGTGCTCCAGTTTACAGGATGGAGTTTCTTGACCATGGTTTCTTGGGCATGGCAAACCCTTTACATATCTTGACATCATCCTTGTGGTTTCCCCAACGGGACCGCAGGTGAGGATTTCGAAGACTTTGACGCAAATCCTCCGTCACAAAGCCGTGGAGCTTCTCCTTAGCGTTTAATTCGTCTCTGTGGTCTGGGGAGAGTGTCGGCAGTTTGGCACCGTCGGTTTCCAAGAGGGTTAATCTTCAGTTAGTAGTTCGGTAAGAAAATGTTCTTGGTTCTTGTTGGTTACATTTTTGTTGATTCGGTTCGAAAAAAAAATCACATCATATTGATGTCTTAATTCCCATCACTAGTTTGTGGCATCACAATTTTTCGAGATTTTTGTAGTTCAACATAGCCAAGAAACATGAAGAAATTCTAGGGGATTAGCCGGTTTTAAATACCTTTTGAAGTTTTGAAGATTTGCGTTTTCCATGGCCATGTTAAGTTCTTCATGGGTATTTGTGTTCTTTCTGCGCACCGTTAATTCCATCAAGTCTTTATAACCTTTAGTTTCATGGTTGTAGGTATGTGAAAAGTGATGAAATGTTAAACCCTTTCTATTCCCACTATACCACCATTGTTGTTAATATATACCTCAATCCTCGCTTTATATCATTATCCCAATCCGATTGAACCCCAATGAGACCAATTGTTCATGCGTAAATTCCGAGTTCAAGTATTCCCTGAAATGCAAAAAACTGGTTGGTGGTTTGGAACATTTTTATTTTTCCATATATTGGGAATAGTCATCATCCCAACTGACGAACTCATATTTTTCAGACTTGTTGTTTTACCACCATAATGATAATGATCATCATATAGTTATGATATATTTGGTGGAAATTGACCAACCTCCCGTCTTTTCCGTATCAAAAAAAGGTGACCGGCTCGATCCGGCCGCCTCAGGTTGGAGGTTGGCATCCGGCCAGATGGATTCTGTGCCTTGGTGGGCTGCGTTGATCCAGGGGGACATCTGCTTCCATGAAAGTGGGAAAATGGCAGGTATATCTTCAAGGAAAACCTAGGAAGTGAATAGAAGCTAAAGATTAGATGCAAGGTTTGTGGTTGAGAATGGAACAAGACATCCTGGGATTGCAGTTGGACCTTCCCACCTGGAACTTACCTTTTTGCATGTTGATGCGTCAACCGGATTTCATGTTACTATGTTGCGAGAATGTTTCGTCACGTCTGGCTGGAACATACCATCATCATCCACAGCATCGTCAACAATGCATCACAGGTCAATTCCAAAAAATGCTGGCCACGGTTTCATGACCACTGAAGCTGCAAAGATGCATGGCATGACAACCCCTACCCTCTTCATAGAAGCAATCCAGGTATCAAGTTGCAATTTTTCTTCATTTTGTGGTTTCACACAGAGGCCATTAGAATTGACTGTTTGTATCCCATGTTTGTTGCTGAACGCTTTAGATTATCTCCGTGTTCATCGGTGACACACCCAAACTTAGACAAATACGTTTTTTGTTTCTTGAGCGACATGTTCCTCAATCACTGGCAGGCAGCCCTCGCCGTAATCCAAGGCCCACTTCGCAAGGTTTTAGAATGTTCTTGGACCCTCGGCGAGTGAAACTGTGGGCCTATCCGCGGATGCAGCTGAGACTCGCTTTGTTTCACCAAAATTGGTGTTGATTTCACGAAACAAAACTTGGTTGCGTATAACTTTTACATGGGTTGAATTTACAGCGAACAGCGGAGGTTGAACCCACCAGAAAATAGTGCAGGCCAAACCGAACAAACATGCTTGAGCAATCCAACTGATTTGGTTGTCATTGTTTTTTGAGTTTTGTTGGTCTTTACATTCCGGATATTTCACCAGATGTAATGACCCCAGTGATTGCCCATGGATCTTCGCATCAACTATCTTCCAAGTAGGCCAGAAGGTTTCTTAGGGGGTTCAGAAGGGAGGTTCGATGGGTTCATCCTGCGAAAAACGGATGCGTGGAATGCCTTGAGGCATCCCTTTGAAGCAGGAGGTGGTCCCCAAAGTTTTTGCACGGTTAGTTTTTATCATGGAGTTGGTACTTCCCAGCCTTTTTCTGCCGTGGTTAAATCACGTACTTGCTAATCAGCTTGCTGTTCAAATTATGGTGCTGTTCCTTGGCGTGACTTGCCCAACCATCACAAACGGCCATAGCAGTAAAATCTAAACATTACAGTTTTGCCACTGCAAGACCAGAGCATGTTAAGACCTGCAGAGTTCCCTTCAAACCAGGTGGCCCCTGTGAAAAACGTCTATGGGGTATAGGACCATATTAACCTTGGATCTTGTCAAGTGGAGATGATGATCATCAAAGGTACTACCATGCAAAATGACCAGAATCTCCACTTAACCAAGGAAGTATGGTGACTCTCAGCCCGAAAAATGCGAGAAATTTCACCACTGTCAGTGACCTCAGGCTATCCGAGCTGGATGTGAAACAGAGCGATGTGGAACAGGTGGCAGGGAAGCCCTGCGTTCTTCGGGTGAACCATTTTCTTTGGGGAATCCCCGTGCAGGGCAAGGTGAATGCCAATATGGGGATAGTCGAAAAAAACAAGACATAACATATATTTTTCTCCGTCTGGAAGTTGCCGAATTAGCCCCGATACATTGCTATTTTCATACGGAAACGGATTATTAACCAGTGGATGGAATGCGGTCCCCTTTTATCAGACCAACAAGAGTGTGGATATAGCTTTCAAGGAATTGGAACTTACAAGCGAAACGAAGATTAAATATGAGGAATTGACCAAGAAATGGTTTCAGCAAGCAGCACCTTGGAAATTTCGAAACAACCATATTGGGATCTAAGCAACGAAAGAGGCAAAGCTACTAGCAAAATTTCCTAGCCATTGTTTTTTAATAAAACCAATTTTACACGAATCAACCAAAACTGCAAGCCCCATTAACAAACCAACAGATTCTTGAGGATGACGGCGAAGATAGGCGGTGGCCCGTCCCAAGTGCCGAGCTAGGGAGCAATGGTGTCGTCAAAACCCAGCATCTGGAGCTTAAAAGCTCACTAATTGCTCAATACTGCACATGTATTGTTTTGCTGATTCAAACAGATGTAAAAGTACTGCAATGCAACGCACAGCAGCGCAATGAAATGTAAGGTAATGTGTGTGTATATCGTGCCCCAAAAGTGTTCGTAATATTTAAACATGTTGGGAATGTCACCCAAGGATATTCGCCAAACACCGCTTCCAGCAAGAGGGTGCCGGTGCACAGACCCAGGTCAAAAGAAGTGACAAGAAACGCTTCGAATTGACACTTGGACACTGGCAGTTGGGTGATTCCATTTGGATCCATGTGGGTGACTATATGGATGAACAATTGATGTTGTAAATCTCTATGTTGCATTTGCTTACTAAGATTTTGTTTGACATACGTAGGGGATTCTGCACGTGGTTCAACGACGTGGTGTTAGTGTCTTTGTGAGATGAAAGTGAGTTGAATATGTTTTTGCAGACTTGCTGAACACACCACATGCATTTATGCATAGGAGTCTTACTCTATCCAAACGTTAGTAACCGTTAGTAAGCATTTGGAAAGATAAACAGGCAGGTAGGTTCATGATAGATTGAGAAAGGGCCCAAGTGAAAATCGCGCCAAGGAAAGAGGAGGATGGAGAGGTGATGATTCGTGCGGTGCAAGGGCATTCAATCAAGGCGACAAACGCCTGAAATGTGTTTGGTGGTTAGCCGCGGCTGTGGATCACCGCGGGTTGTCGCAGCTTTTGAGCGGATGAAGGATGGATTGAGATGGTGGTTAAGCAACCCCTCCAATAAATGTGTTGCCGCGGGAAACCCAAGCAACCCTTCAAAATTGCAAAATTCAGAAACCGGAGAAACATTCATGAAATTCTGACATCCAGCATTGAAGCTCTTCAACTACCCAAGTCTAGCCCCTAGCCCCTTGCCACCGTTGCTAAAACCGGTTTGGGGTTGCTAGCCCACACCGGGATGGTCAGGAAGCAGGTGACTGTGAAACCTACCGGGTCGTGACGTTGCGAACGGCCTTGTATAGGTCATCGATGATGATCAATTGCTTAAGAAGTTGGATTTGACCAACTTGCCTGAGCTCTGCGTGTTTCTTGGATTCTGGCAGGGTGGGGAAAGGATTTGCGGAGTGCGCCAAGTTGGCACCAATTAAACCACCTGAAGTTTCTTGAAGATGGGATTGGAAGAAAAAGTCATTGGCATATGGGTGGCGAGGTGGGTCTGCCAAGGCTAAGGCTGCAGCAGAGGACAGGGCTGCAAAAAGATTTCGAAATTAAAATTAAATGTACAGTAGAAAATGTCCATGGCGTCCAACTTTTTTTGTGAAATTGAAAGCAACAAAAAAAGGGAAATTCTTGGGGGCTCCAAAACTCCAGTTGTGGACACCGATGTGCCATGTCACATGAGGCACGGGACGTACCGGAAGCATTTCGAGAGCATCAAACAAAACGGTCTATTGGCTGGTGGCGGTCAAGGCTCCGGATGCTGCAAGTGTTGCCATCTGGCATCTCATCCGACGTGCCATACATACAATGAGAAAACCATAGAGACAAAAAAGTGGACATCCTTAAAATTTCCGGTGCTCGAGCCCGAGTTGCAGTAGCTCGCTAGTTTCCCGCTTTCATTGTTGTTTAAAACGTTTGTTTACCCCATGCTGTCGCGCGTTGGCAACATGTTTTAACCAAACGAAAAACATCGTTTTTCCGAAGACATCCCCTGGCAATCAAACATCGCCATAGGAAATCCTGATGCTTTTCCTGAGAAATAATGGCTTGAAAATGGAAGAATTCCCGTTGCCAGCTGAACAGGCCAGGGATTTCGCAACCACGTGCACTTCTCTGCCTTCGCCCCTGGTGACAAACGTGTTTCTTGACAGTTTGAATTGGTGAAGCTGACAGTTTCGGATTTGTGCGCGTTCGACTTCAAAAAGGTTGGGTTGAGTTTTGGAAGTTGATGACTCTTCCAAAAACTGTGTGGATTTAGCACCTAGTGGGTCGATCTTTGTATGGATGACTTTGCCTGCTCAGAGGGAAATTATGGATCCGGACATCAACAAGTAGGGTAATTAGATGGGAGCTCGAACCATGTGAGATAGCAAGTAGGGAATTATAAGCATTTCCCCAAAATAATCCCTTCCATTCCCTTCCCCCCTTGTTGAGAAACCATAGTTTAGTAGGGGACTTACACATATTTGCGTCACCGTCATCAGCTAAACGCCTTGGAACGAAGCGTTGATGTTCTGCTAAATGCGACCGCCACTTTTAAGCTCTTGGAGATTTCAACAACAGAAAGTATCCAAAATCAAAAGGCCGGGTATCACCTTGGCAAGTTTGATGCGTTTTGCCAAACAGTTGCCAACCCCAAAAATGTTGGATGCCCAGGCTCTGAAACAAAGCACCAAGACGTGCCACATCCAAGGATGAGCACGCCATTTTTTTGAAGTTCACATTTGCCTCGGTATGCCTCTTGTTTTGGTTGCAATTTCCTATGGTTGGGCAAATTCCGAGTCAAAATGTTACAATGATCAAAGAAATAAATAATTCGAATAAATAAATAAATACTCATGCTCCAATGCTGCTGATGCCAAAACCCATTTCGTGCTGGACATGGAAATGTTCCGCCTGTTAATCTGGTAAGCTAGTCTCCCCGCAACTGAAAGCACATTTATCCCCAATCTTCTTGGTGAGAAGAGTGCAAGAATATCACAGTACCACCTAGGATTTGGTGGCCCTCTCTCTCACTATTTCCTTAGTCAACTGTTCCGCGCAAATACAACCAGAGAGATTTCACTGACTATGAATCTGTCAGGAAATATTGCATACCATTCAAGTTTGATGGTGGGTCATCATTTTCCATCCACAAACTAGGAGATACCCCCGAGTGGCTGGAAAACCCAGTCCATCCACCGGATAACAGAAGCCGCGTTTGTTGCGTGGCGCAACACTTTCAGGTGATCTCTGGAATGCGTGGCTTGGCTGATGTGATCCTCAACCTTGGGTGTTGCTTACCCGGGAAAAGAAAATGTTTTGACCAACAAAAATCTTTGGTTTGCTGGCAATGATTCTGCTTCCCATGGGAAAACCATTCCTTAGGGAATCTACAGAGAATATTTTTTGTTGCAAATCCAAGAAATATGGGCCCAAACCTGTAGACTTTAGCGGTTAGTTGACACAAGAAATAACAGATGCGGACAGATGCGGTAGAGAAACAAATCATGTTTTATTGATATAGCGCTGGTGTGATACTTACCAATTAAGCTACAGCGGTTTGTCCAGCAGTGGGATCTTCTCCAATTGATGTGGTGGTTAATGGGACGATTTTCTAACCCACGGGATGGAATTGGCTACCCTGTTGTTCTTGGGTGGTTTGGGCCGTTCAACCAGGCTAGTACTGTACATTCCTCCCATTCCAGTCGAAAGGTGGTGAACTTCCCACAACCTTGGAGCAGTGTGTGCAACTTTTTGACCCGGAGAACTTTTGCCACTGCTTTTTTTCGTCTGAAGATTTTGGTAAATAGGTGGTAGGTGGCTGCGGTTTGGCGGGTGGCTTGGAAAATTTTAGGAGTGCACAGCGGTTTTTGTTGGGGACCACGACCACAGACCTGATTTGATCCTGGTGCTACCTGTTCAATGTGGTTGAACAACCCAGTGAGATCCCAGAAATTACCTATACACCATGTCAAAAACATACGCCAATATAATTCTATAGAGAAAGAGAGACATGTATAACATACAAATATATATATATAGACGTTGTCTACATACATGTATATTTATATATTGGTACGTGTTTCTGCTCTATGTGAATACATGAAAATTTGTAAGCTCCGATCCCTAATTTGTGGCGCGTTCTAAGGCTATGACTGCGAAGTCGCCATCTGGATCGACTTGAAGAAAGCCATTGAAGACGAGGTGCCTTTCTACATGAGCGCCTTGGGCAACTGAAATGGGAGGCAGTGGGAGGTGGATATGGGCCTGTCCCAAAATGAGAAATACCACTAGATAGCAAGTTTCGCATAAGCCCAGAGAAAAGTGATTTGGTGGATTGGAATGGGGCACAACAAATTATGCTCAAGTCATGCGGGTATTTTGGTGTCAGCTTTATATTCTATTGGATTCAGTAAATATATGTAAATTTGACACATGTTGTTTGTAAATACTGGTCCATACGAAACTACAGGACTACATGGCTGCAAAAAAACACGATATTTGGACACATATGTAATTCCAGCAGATCCAAGTTAACAAACTGGAAACTTATTCAAGACCATGATATTAAGCAATCATTACCATTTTCTTCAACGGATTCGATTGAAACTATCAAAGGCACGTTGTTTGTTTGCTTTCTTGGGAATATGTTGGATCTATAATATGTACATGTCTAGGTGGTTATGCTGGCAAAAGCCCTCCATGACTGCAGGGTTGCAAGGTGTACCTGGTGTTCCCGACGTTGCATCGGTTCCGCTGAGGCGCCAACCAGGTGATCTTAAGCCCTGGCATCAATGGAGTCATCGACAAGAGCCTTGATTTGATCGCCTTGGCGACCAAAATACCTGTTGATTTGTGATACTTTGGGGATTTACCTTCCAGTAAACTATCATAGAATCTGACAATGGTGATTTTAGTGGAAATTAATCTTCCAAACCCTATTTGGCAGGGTCTATTCTATGTTAACTTTCCAGAGGGTAAGCATGTTTTAAATGTTTTTACCACCAACATATAGGAGACAGAATCGATGGTTGGTATTTCAACTGGCTCCCAAATGGGTGATTGACCCAATGCCATCCTGGTTATATATTATAGATGTAGCCGTCCATCCTGTCAGTCTGACTGGGTGTCAAGCTGAATTTTCGTAAGCACATCAAGCGCACCGTTTGATTTTAATCAGCAAACGTGAAGATTAAGCCAGCAATATATGGACATGGTTTTCACACCCCATTGAAACAGATATGCCATGAATGCATGAACCATCGCTGACCTACTTGTAAACCAAGTTCCCGGCCCCCGAGCCCAAGGAAGTATTTCACAAAAGCGCGGGACTTGCACAAGAAGGATCGATCCCCGTCAATGACAGATCAACCGGCTGAGATTTTGCCATAAACTGGGGAACACTCAATATACCCAGCTTAATGTTGCACATGAGCTGCCCCAAAAACTCAGAGGTAAGAGGCCATTGGCGCACTCCAAAGCCCTATGCTGATGGGTTGCTGTTAAGGAGGCAGCATCAGCTTGATGGTCATGAATCAGTTTTGGCCAGAAATTCCCTCCAAGTTCCGTTGAAGATAACCATTTGATACAAGCACATGGCCATTGTCCAATCATATCCCATGTCCGTACTGGCTTATCAGAAATGGTGTGGTATTGAGAACAACGCCCTTTCAAAAGCGGTTAGTTTATGGTGCATTAGGATTATCAAGAATCATAGATTTTCTGCTGGCCATCTCACTTCTCTGAATCCGGTGAGAGATCATCAGGGCTGCACGTGCCAAGAAGACTCCAAGAATGCCTTTCAGTTTGCTAACGTTTCACCATGAATCCCTTCCCCTCAATATTTAATATGTACCCCCCTTGAATTCCGTATTTAGACTTTATTGACTTGGATCTTAATATGCTTCGAATCTATTCAAAATGTTTACACAGATAATTTTCTCCTCTAGTATATCCTAGTATAAATAATATATTCCCTTGTTTGTTACCCAGAATGAAATATATATATATAGATATATATATATATGCTATATATATATAGATTCCTCTTTATTCATCCAACTTTAGTTGTGGATCGATCGGGCCCTGGATTATCTTCCAATCCACCAGGAGGATTTGTCCTTGGAGCCTCCACTCCAATAGGTGCGGTGAAAGAGCGCTTCGATGACATGCTTGGGGAGGTTTGGCCATAGTGAAAACAACAGTGATTGAATGCTAATCACGGGGATAATAAGAAGCACAGAGAAAATGATTTGGTGAAATTGCGTGGAGAAAATGATTGTTAACAATCATTGCTACCAATATCTACCAACCATGATGATCATTGAGAGTCATGACAACTGGGAGAGTTAGTAACCATAGACATCTTACATGATAATAACAGTAAGACGCCCTCAAATCGTTGCCATCATTGGGGCCAGGGCTGAGTCGCAGGACCTTTGACCAATCATCAACTACAGATGTCCCCATCAATGGCTGGAAAAGGATTCGGAAACAGGCATCATGAGGATTCACCATATTCGCCATTTTGCCAAAAAGGAAATTTTAAATGACACATTTAGTTCGATGATTTGCCTCTTCAATTTGCCATAGCTATGTGACATTGGCAGAGGGCATTGGAGAAGGAATCGGAGACGCCGAAACCATGGCTTTTAAAACGCTGATGTTTGGGAACCACTTTTTCATTGGGGGGGCTTATCCATGGTTGACCCGTACCCGACATAGAGGCCTGAAAGGCGAATCACATGTTTTTTATTTTGATTTTTTTTGTGGAGTTTCGAAGCGCAGAAAACAGGAAGAAATTGATGCCCTAAGATGCCAGTGTTGTGCATCGAACTTAGGCTCAAGTCTATACGGTTTATACCCAACCATCCAGGTGTGTTTTGTGAGCCAACATCTACTAAAGGCCATCCAAAATGTAGATACGCCCTACATTTCCCACATGGATTTATTGGCATGATTAAAATTAGATACCACCCTGCAAACCTTGATTTAGTGTTAGATCTATTCATTTTAAGGGCCCCGTTGCTGGCCCACTGCTGTTCAGCTGCAGGTGAGTCTCTTCGCGCAATGATCTAAGGGAAGAACCATGGCGCAAACGTTGATCGCGTGTTCTCGTAAACGTGGTGTTCAAATATATGGTTAGTGGGCAAGCCTTTCTGCAACACCGGCTTGGTTGGATATAGATATACACTGGGGCATAGATATACACTGACTCTTATAACGATATGTCATTCCGTTTTTTGGAACGAACAGGAATCGCTAGGTAGGGTTTGGTTTGGTAGGTCCATGACTTTTTTTCCAGTTTTAGATAATGAATCCCATAATTCTGTTTTAAAAAGCACGTCTGTTTTGGCCAGCTTACCAGAGCCGTGGGTGTCAAAGTTGAAAAGGAGCAAATCCACGGATGCTACCACTTTTTGATCACAAACCACCTGTTTCGGGGGGAGAGCCTTGGTGGGGAGTTTTTTTTAATAACTTTAAAGTGGGGAGAATTTTCCCTTCTACATGGGTTGGGGATTCAGATAGCGTTTTGTTCCTTGAACTTCGGGGCAGTTGTCTACACAACATGTCATAAAAAGGTGTGTAAGGTTATGTTAGGTTAGCTGTTTGTTTGGACAATTGTTGATGGCATTTTGTCTTTCACCTGCTTGTAGAATCATCCCACTGAGTAATCATGCAGTTGACAAGGCTGATTCGTAAATTCCTGATTCTTCAGGTTGCACGTGTAGGTGTGTGTGTGTTATGGCTTTACTGTTGTGTACATCCACCATTTTCGTACAAATCCATGTGGATACATTGCAGAGACATGTTGTGGATCAATTCGATGCTCACTGCTTGGTCAAATCATAGAGGGGTCACCTCCATTGAATAGCCAATGTGAAAATCATGGCCATGTGCTTACCAAACCATCCAAACCTGAACCATTGACACTAGATATCACTAGATCAATCTTACAACTTGGCTCCGCGCAAGTTGGCGGCTGGGAAGACGCGAGCAGACGTCATGGTGTAGGAAATGGAATCTTCAAAGAGTTTTCACGTGAAAACAGAGGAGTGACCGATCCCAAAAAAGAAACCAGGGGTAGTTGCTAATAGGTACAATGTGGTGCCCCCTAGATAGCTAAGTTGGTTTATAACTCCAATAACTATGGTTTATAGGTGATATATCTATAGTTAATGGGATTATAAACCAACTTATAACTTGGGGGGCACCACCTTGTATGAAGCCTGGTGAAACTCCATGCCTAACTCGTTTCTTGCTGTTTTGGGGCCAGGGTTCTTTTCAGTGTACCGTTGGGCTACCACTGTTTTTCCTTCACCTTTTGTGTTTGTCCACTTGAGATGATGAATTTATAGAACCCTCATCTTTCTGGGGTTAGGAGTTTGGAAGAGGAATATGGTCTGAGAAGCGTGTGTCATTGGAAGTCTGCAGGAGCAACACATGTTGGAATGAATCCATACGGTCTGGAAGTCTCTGAACAGTATTGTTTTGGAGATTCCAAAAAACGTCGACGTCGGAACAGACCTGTCACGTTGGACCGTCGGGATTCGTGTCACTGAAAGGATCGCAGGGCATATCCTTGCGGCACACCACTTGCTCCAGCAGCGTGACAATGTTTGAGAAGCGCATCACTACGTATGTACTGTTGGTAAAGCAGTAGTACCACCCATGTTTGGCCGGTTTGTATTAACATATACCAGCCATGTATGGCAAAAATTTTGGGACCGTTTACTTTTGCATTCCTAACATTATATAGTGTTTACACGTTTGTAACACACTTATGCATATATATATATATATTTATTTAATTACATATACATATTTTATTATTATCATTCTTATTACCAATGTTATATTTATATATATATACATACATATATCGTCGGGGATGCACATACGTATGCACACGCTGTGCCTTCTGGGAATCAAACATGGAGAGCTTCATTGACACCTTTGATTGTCAGAAGGGGGATAATCAAACGCGATTGGTTGGTTTGGTAACATGTCGCCAGCAAAAAATTGCCTATTAATGACGCAAGACATATGTTTTTAAGAAGTATAGAACCAAGAAAGCTGGTCATTAATAATCTCGGAAATGGCAGGTGCTGTATCATTTCCCCATCTTACCTTGGATGATAACAATCTGATAATACCAACTGACTTTCATTGATGGGTGGCTCAACATGGCTCAATCACAACGGTTGTTACAAGATTTCCACTGCAGGGTTGCTGGACAGAGCGATGTGTGAAGGTTGCCTTTCCGAGGCCTTTGTCGCAAAAGGGCTGCAGATATGCTGGAACCTTTAAGTATGAATGGGGCGATATAACTCCTGTAACTAAGACTATATATATCATGAAATAAGCCAGTTATAACTGTGTGAGGGCTATAACTGAATGGGATGGAAGCAAAGATCAATTGGACATTTGGCAGAACACATGTTTTTTTAGTCACGCAACCAATGGGTAGACTCTGGCAAAATCGAACATGTGCCATGGCCAGGTTTATTGGAGCCAGCGGCTGCACCCCCCCTGTTGCTTGATGATTTGTTTGGGGGTTCAATGGCGATTTAACCATCATTTACGGTGAGTTGGAGCCATCAAACTACCAAAAAAAAACAGCAAAAACTCAAGACCTTGAAAATTGTTCTCTTGCTTTTGGCACTTTCGTTGATGCAATCACTGCAAGCTCCATTAGGGTCATGAACCTTCCAAAAGTTGCAATTTTCCAAGCCCATGTGGTTGGTATTCATCTTACAGGGTTCCTAAATTTCCCAATAATTGCATGCAGGGGGTGGAACATCACTTTCTGGTGGTTTTTTCAGTGGCGATCAACCTACAGAAGGGGATGGTTACAGAGGACACCCTGTCAACCCTGGCGCAGACACCCCGCATAAGTCGCAGAGTCCGATCCCTTTCACTCTCCGCAGTGGGCTTGAAGCACGATGGTGAATAAAGGGTTAATTGATAGTTACTGATGACCAATCACTAACAATGATTTTGGTTGCTATTCACCATCACTATTCAACATCAGTAACCATGGGTTATTATTGATGGTGAATAGTTAATAATGATGGTGAATTACAGCAATCACATCAGACCATGGGTCCATGCAGTGGTGTCGGATTGGACACGGCTATGCATCGATGCCAAAGGCACCACGACTGCCAGACCTGAGGTTGAGCTCCTGGGTAGTTCAACATGTTAGTATTTGAACATGTCTTTGATGGAATATGTGTACTTTGTGTAATGCATAATTTTACCAGCCAAAAATCAATGGTTTTTGTGCCGATTTTTGCTTAGCCATGACGATTCCAACCTACTCTAAAGCAATTTTTGATTCGACTTCAGCCCTTTCTTTTGATCTCCCGGGCGCCCCAGTCATGGTCGGGAGACTTGGTGGTTTTGGGCCGGAAGATCCTTGGGGTGGATTGGCCAAGGGACACAACGATGTTGCATGGAAACTATCAGTTGGGCCATAGAAAAATGTAGTGACAAGAACAGTTTGGCAACCCAATTTTTCAGGTTTAATTTTTAGGTTTGGGGGGCGCAAAGCTTGGAAGAAAACAGGACAACCACCTAAAAAGTACCAAAACATGAAATGGACAAGGTACAGCAGCGAAGAAATGCGTCACAAGGAGGTGGATGATGCCATGTCAAGCTGGGGTGACAGCTACCAGGTTCCACCTTTGAAACCCCAAAAAAAACATGCATCTTGTGGTCAAACTCGATTGTTGTGACTTGGTGGCCAAGTTCCATATGTCATTTTGGTGGAACTTTTTCTCATCAGAATTTTGAGAGATCTGAATGTTTCATGGATACTCCATCTCCGTTTGCATCCTGGAATCCTAGTCCTTTGGAACTGTCGCAGCAATTTTTTGGCATCAAGCTCCTCCAGGTTTCGCGTATTGTTTCCACAGTTTCGACCCAGACATGGCACGTGCTATGCGGTGCATCGTGGTTGTGGGCTTGACCCTCATGGCAACTTGGCGTTGCCGGTGACTGTCTTCTTCATGGATGGGAATGCTATGGTTCAAAGCTATACCACTGTGGTTCATGAATTTCACATATCATATAGTGACTGGTTGGTGGTTTCAAACATGGCTTTTATTTTCCATTTCATATGTGGGATCTCATCCCAACCCCATTGACGAACTCATATTTTTCAGAGGGGTTGTGGTCAGATGATATCCCGGATCCAAGATGATCCAAGGTCCTTCTGATCTCAGATCATCGATCGTCCTGTAATGAACTTACCATCATATCATCCTACCTTTCCCATCGTGGAATGTATTACGGGAACAATTACAGGAAACCGTGGTTGTTGCCTCCCAATATTGGAAGTTCCGTGAGGTTCCTGCATGCAAAACCTCCTTTCAATCTAACCTGAGATTGAGGGCATATGTTTTCTCTACGTCCTCACGTCAGTTTTTGCTGGGCAAATCCTGGATCAAGGAACATTTTGCACATGTAAACCCCACCCAGCGCTGAATAGATTCATCTCAGAGCCCCTCTTCATATTCAAACCATCGAAACCAAGTCAAAGCCAGGGTTTCTTACAGATGTTCCCTTCATCTGGTAGTCTTGGAAATTCCAAGTTCGCATGTTGCCCCATATTCCTGGTGATTTGCCCGGGGAGTTCTATGCTTTTTTGAATATTTTCATTGTTTTTTGGATCGCTGGAAACACCTGCCAGGTAGCTGCCCCTCTCTTTGTCTCCCCCGGTGGAAGCTCCAGCCGCAGCCCACCACGCGCCCAGCTGCGTGCGAAGGGCGACCGTTTCCAAGCCTTTGGGGAGGTGACGAAGGAGGAACAAGGGCAGGTGCCACTTGGGAGCTGTTGCCATGGGGATATTTGTGTAAGGGTGTGCAAAAAATGGAAAAATTGAGTTTGGAACCAGCATGAATTGGAGTTTGGCATGTTTCCCCATTAGTTTTTTTTCTTGGGTGCCCTTATCTTCAAACCTCCAGTTTTCGGAAAGCCATTTACCAACTTTGACCATTCACATCCAGCATCTCCATCCCAGCTCAGTCGATTTACGGCATGAGCTGGTTAAAGTCCTTATTTCATTAACATCCTCAGTTTCGGTAGTACCCCATTATTTCAATCCATTACATCCATTCATTGACATCCACATTAACATTAATTGCTTACAACATCATTTTTCTTTTCAAAATCCCTATGTTTCCTCCAAAATTCCCATATTTTCTGGCTAAAGCATCATTTTCGCATATTTTCCTCTATTTTTGGTCTGCCATGGTTTTTCTCTTCAATTTCTTACCAGGCCTGGGACTTCCCGTTCCGTGCCTCCGCCGTTTCCGCCTGCGCCTTGGCCCTGCTGCTGGCGCTGCTGCCGACGGACGCCGCCGAGGCGGCGCACTGCGGCGGCCGCATGGGCGGCAGCAGCCGCGCGGCCAGGGCACCCAGGCCGCAGCCTAGGGCGCAGCCCAAGGCCAGCAGCACCACCAGGTGGGGAGGGGTCGTGAAACATGGGGATTCATATCTCATATTCTTAGGGATATGGGATATAACAACAAAATATACCCTTAAATTGGGTGTGTTTGAAAGTTAAAGGTTGACGAATTTGAGAGAAGTTGGCGATTTTTTAAGATGAATGATGATTTTCGAAACCACAATCCTGGAAATCAGACCCAAAAATCACATTTTCCATGGGGATAGTGAGGATTCACCAATGGGCTGGCAGGAGTGCCAGCGCCGCCTCGGTCAGTGGTCCCAACATCTCGGTGGGCTTCGGGTCACCGGCGCCTTGGTGGCGAAGGAAGCCGCACCACGGAAATCTTGGGATTCCAGCTGTGGTTTCTATATTTACAAGGTTTATAACTCCAATAACTATGGGTTTTGTTGGTGATATATCTGCAGTTAATGGGATTATAAACCAACTTATAACTTGGTGGGCACCACCTTGTACAACAGCATTTTACAGCACCAAAATGTAAAATGCTATGGTAATTTTATAGAAACCCTACAGTAGCTGGTACTATTACAACTGTACAGCACATTACTTCAATATAATTACAGTAGCAACTATTGAAGCAATCGTACTACAGTAACAAAATGGTATTTCAATGGTTTCTTATCATCAAATCAGGTGAATGGTTTGTACTGTAATGCGATTGCTGTATACGATTACTGTAACACGGGTATCAACAAATCAGCTGAAATACGATTACTGTAATCTAATATATTACACTTGGAATTAGCGTCAAAGATAATGAGGATCTGACGCTTCAATGATTGAAAAATGACGATTTTGATCGTTCAATATCAGGATTGATGAACATGTTTTAGCCAGAAAAAATGTGATTTTCAGCGGCTTTTGGACCATGATTTGGTCGTGGCCGACAACATGTAAACAAATCTACCGACGATTGCTCCATCAGGATTCCTAATCAGATGTTGAAGGTCACTCCCATCCAATCATTGATGGTTGTATCCCCATTCTGGTTGGTGGTTTCCCTCTGAAAAATTTGAAAGTCAGTTGGGATTATTATTCCCAATATATGGGCAAATAAAATTCATGTTGCAAACCACCAACCAGTTGAATATCACCATTGTGTTGGTGAAGGTGCAAAAAAAAGGCACGGCACGAGGTAGAATCCAAGTAGCTTTTACCACCCAGCTATGTCCAAGTGCGGTGATGCCAGCGCATGTTCAGTGCTGTATTTTTGGGGCCAAGGCCACAAGCAATTTCCATTCACTTCTCTCAGGGTGCAGTCCCATGTTTATTTCATGGCTGAATCATGTTGACTCCCCATGCAATTGATGGATATTGAGGAATGTTTATGTGTTATTTTCGGTGGTTTAGTGTTGAGTTCCTTCTTTGATGGTTCAATCCCACCTCAATCATCCACAAATTTGTTTTCTCATGCTGCTTCATCCCAATTTGTTTTTTGATTTGGATGGTTCAAACAACGTTATCTGGTTGGTGGTTTGGAACATTTTTTATTTTTCCATATGCTGGGAATAATCATCCCAACTGACTAGTATTTTTCAGAGGGGGTGAAACCACCAACCAGTTATAGTCCCCAAACTCTCGAAAAAACCATCTCTCCAAGAATACTTTCGGAGCGACATAGCTGCAGGTTTTTTTGTTTTCATCGAGGTTACTTCAACTATCTCCAGGAAATATGCGGTACATTTTGAAATGCCTTTTTAAAAGGCCCAAAAATCCGCTATCAGGTGATGATATTGGACTAATCCCAATTATGGTGGTTTCCTGAGATGGGTTAAAATGGGGAATCCCTAAAACCATGGGTTTTAAGGCTAACATGGTCTAATGTTGGAGGATTTGGGGTTAGGTACCCCTATTTTAGGAACCCATACGTATACGATGACTTTCCATGATCCTCATTGGTATGCACCACCCTCCTATACCTAAAGTCGCTGCTTCAAAAATATATTTAGCGGGCCTCAACCACATCTTATCAATTCTATCTCCCTTTTTCTCCATTGTAATTCCTTTCATCCCCTTTTGTTGAGTCATGGTGAATTCTCCCCAGCTGTTTTGGGACACGAAAAAAAACGGAGAAAAACGGCCGTCGCCCAGGTGATCTCGCCCTTCGGCTTCAGCCCCTTTGGCCCCTTCGGCGGCTTCGGCTTCAGCCCCTTCGGCTTCGGTCTGCCGGTGCCGGTTCCCTCGGGTGCCTCGGCGCCGGTGATTTTTCCCTTGGGATGTCGTGTGGCAAACCGGATGGTTGAGTGGTGGCTAGTGAACCCTGAGGATTTTAGGCGGATATCTTGTGAAGATTTAGAGATATGGTTTTGTTCTTGGGTTTGCTGAGGTTGAACTTCAGTCGTATGTGTGTGGGTCTTTTCTGTTTCATTTCATGCGGTGCAAGTGATAGAGACTGATACGAGCCACAACGCTTGTTTTACTTGGGACGTTGGGAAAAAGATGAAAAAACACGGGAATGTTAAGTTTCTTGCTGAATAGATTTGATAAAAATGGAGCACGCAGTTTCGAGAATCCCACCTCATGGCTGGGTTTGCAACGTTGGAAAAGGTGGTGCCCTTCACTTATGTTTGTGTTTTATAAACCCCATGAACTACCAGAAACCATGGGTCGCCTACTGATACACCAACTTAGCTATAACTGATTCAACTATTAGTCCATATTAGCCCCACCATGTTTGTTGGTTAATTGATGTTAATTGGGGGTGCCAGTGATTTAAGTTGGGAACCTATCCTCTGGTAAACTAACATAACTATGGAAAATCACTATTCTTAATGGATAAATCCACCATAAATGGCCATTTTCAATAGCTATGTTAGTTTACTTGAGGGGTATCCTTAAGCCCTCTTTTACGGGTCACTGGCAACTGGGGAAGCAGCTGCAGGACCATCTTCCACTGATCAAATGCTGCAGAATCAGCAGCAGCAGGTGGGCGATGCTGCAGTACATGAACGTATGGTTTTGGACCAATGCCCAACAAACATTGATTGGTGGTTTTGGAACATGCCTTTCATGACTTTCCATTCGGTTGGGAATATATAATCATCCCAACTGACTTTCATATTTTTCAAAGGGGTTGAAACCACCAACCAGAAAAACTCGTTTAAATTGATAGCAAAATGACCCAGAACAAATATTCTTTTGCAACTGCCATGGGTAATTTCCATTGTTCATGGAACAAGCATATAGCCCTTAAAAAAATGATAATGATAATCATCCTATCCCTACTGGTTTTTCTGGTTTCCCGTCTGTAGGACGAGCGGAAGATCGACGAACAAAACCAGGAGATCGCCACGCTGAAGAAAGAGTTGCTGGGCGAATTTTGAGTTTTGAACCCGGAATGTTCTTGGGATATGGTGGGACATCTGATGGAATATCTTCATATATCATGGGATAATATGTAAATATATACATATATATATATAAACACACGTGGAGGTTTCCTAAGTCATGGGGGTACCCCCAAATATCCCCTAGTCACCTCCGAGTCACTAGAGGCGGTTTTAGTATTGAAACCATTTGAAACCTACTTGGTGGCTCATCCCACTTAGTAAGTGGGTTATAACCCCAGTTATAGATGGGATAAGTAGGGTTCATCCACTTATAACTGGGGTTATAACCCACTTACGAGCCGCGGGCCGTGGGATGAGCCACCAAGTATGGTTGTGGGGATTCCCTAATTTTTTTCGAAACCCCGACGACCATCCCAGAGGTAACTGACAGCTCTTCGTGGGGTCCAAGATTTCTTGCCCGCAGTCACGTAACTGATCATCCCACATCTGGGGTGACCCCCGATGCAGTCGTAAAATCAATCAGAAGAACATGTTTTTTGATTTAGGAGTTATGTGATGTTATATGTTGTAGTTATAGATATGTTATAGCTATAGTGTGTATATATATATATATACGTATCCGTTTTTATAGTATACAACTAGAAAATATCATGTACACCTTCCACTGTCCTGCGGTAGACTCCAGGTTGGATGAGCTTAAGGCGATGCTTGGCACCAACCATTGCCACCATATGATACAACGATATAACGGGGGTACTAAGGGATAGATATTGAAAATGGTGATTTATAGTTGATTTACCCATGAAAATGGTGATTTTCCATAGTTATGTTAGTTGACCAGGGGGATAGATATAACATAACATGATAAGATCTCAAAATGCGATGGAATTAACCGAAGATCTTGACCAGGAATGAATAGGAATGTGATATTTGGGAAGCAGTGGATGGCATGGGGTAATTGCCCTGTTTCGGGACAAAGCCATGTAAGCATGACATGCGCCCATCTATTTGTAGGGTTCCTTGGTTGTTTGCTTGCGCGTTTTACTCCTATATATACAAACATAGCTATTGAAAATTATCATTTATAGTCGATTTACCCATTAAAAATGGTGATTTTCCATAGTTATGTTAGTTTACCAGAGGGTACATGGGAAAAACCTGCAAAGAAGAATTCAGGATGATCTGAGGCAAGCATGTCAAAACATGTTTTGTTTTCAAGATCCCTATTCCCAGAAGGTCGTTTCCATCCATTCCATGGTAAGTAATTACCTGTAGACAAGCGGATTTTCACCATCATGAGTAGATGACCCAGGATGAAGGGTGTTTCTTGAAGGGGATTGGGACATTCCCAAGAAGACATTTGGCCACATCTATCACTCCCAGTGCCAGAAAGTGATCTAGTTTTGGGCGTACTTCCATAAAGCTCAGATTTTTCTGAACACCCCCCAGGCTGCGAAGAGATTTGTCACATCCATTGGCTTAAAGATGTGGACCTGCAATAGGTCATGTATATTCTGAAATCGGACAACCAAGGAAGAAGTGAGCGAATGAGATGAGACGATCCGGCTGGTGGAGTCTACAAGTTGAAACAGCTTGGATCGACCGTATGATCCATGGTTAATCGGTTAATAAGAGACGGAAATCCAATGGGACTCCTCCGATTCAGCTGCCTTGGTATATGTTGGTGATTGATTTGTTTTTCTGTTTTAGCTCTTCAGGTACATGTACGTCGATGATGGACTGTTGTCAGCGTTTCGTTTTTCCATCAGGCCTGGTATGATTTGAACCGCAATTGGTAAGTGCAATTGATTGATATGCTCACGCTGTCTTGAAGCATGTCGAAACATGTCGGCCCCATTGTTTGGGGTTTGGCTCACCAGCCGATCGTTGAATGGTTCCTTTGGTGCCCAGCAGTGCCAAATTTTCCATCGCCCTCTGTTCACCGCACGTCGCTCAGGGGTGCAATCTCTTGGGATGGTGGAGACTTGCTGCTACATCATTAGGCATCTGTACATTTGGAACCAACATAGTGAGCCAGCAACATAGCTGTTCTTTTGGGGAGGGTGTTCACAATTCTTGCCTCGCCAACCTTGTGCAGTGCCAGTGCATGGATGTAGAGATGGAGAGAGAGAGAGAGAGAGTGAGAGAGAGAGAGAGAGAGAGGGGGGGGAGAGCTGGACATATCTTTGTCGGTTACACGTTTAAAGATGACAACCATCATATGATATGTATGTAAATATGGATGTGGAGTTTTGATATGTATTTCGCAACCCCCAAAAAGATTTAGAAGTAAGTCTCAATTTTAAATAAACACATTTTTGACTTTTTCTACTTGTTTTGGGTTGCTAAATATGCCGTGGATGCATGCTGTCATGCAGACCCAACGTCTCCTTGGCAATCCCTGCGGAACTTCGCCAACTTTTGCCCCGCTCGGTCAAGATGTCTCCGTGCACAGCTGGAGCCGCGGCCCATGTCGTGAGCCGGGCCGTGTGGGCCGTTGCCGCGGGCAGGATAAACGTCAGTTTACATGCCGGTCAATGATGATTCTTTGGTGGTTATGTGGCATGACACTGGGACAGCGATTTAGTCACAATTCTAAGTATCCCTAGTGAACTGCAGTAAAGTAGCATCAAATGGAAAGTCATGAATCTAAACTGAAGATTTGAAGATTTGCGGTTCTTTTGTGCCCAGTTTCTGATCCTCTTGAGCCGTTTACACATTTTTGAACCATAGATCTTTATGCTGAGGGCAACGGCTCCCCCAGAATCTGGAAAAGTCGGTGGCCACACAGGCTGCCTCCAAAATTTCTAAACACCAAGCGGTCGCAAGTGCCGCCAGACGGTATATACTCGTCATGGCTTCTCTGAAGTTGAGCGGGAAAAGAGTGCAGCTGCCTTGGGGAACAATTGTGATAATGGGTTTAATGGGGTGAAAAAAAGAGACTTCAGATTTTCTAGGGCAACCTTAGCCAAGCTGAAGGTAGCCAGTTTTCTATCTTTGACATGCTTGCTGTATTGATAGGATCCATTTTGTATTAGTCATGTTCCTATTGCAGATATGTTTTCACCTGGTCGCGGTCGCATAGGTGAAGTGTTCGAACCGGCCGTTTTTCATGTATTCAATCCTCCTTACGGTGGGTTAGGTCCAAGTTTCTCGATCAAGTTTTGGGATTAAAGAAATTCTGGTTGGTGGTTTCAAACTCTCGTTTATTACCCTCTGGTTATTTAAGATGGCCATGGGAAATGGCCCATTTATAGATGGTTTACCTATGAAAAATGGTGATTTTCCATATATTGGGAATGTCATCATCCCAACCGTTACCCACTCATATTTTTCAGAGGGGTTGTGGTCAACCACCAACCAGAATTTTTGGTCATGGGTCAAACTCTCGTTTATTAAGAGATATTGAGAGTAAAAATCCCCATTTTGCTGCTCAGCTCCTTAGTTTTGCTCCATCAAGGTGGACCTTACCGCTTTATTCGTTGGGTAATATCTCCATGTCCATCGTTTGCCGGTGAAACCCTAAGATAAGAACAGTTTGATCCACGAATTTGACACTTCCACCTGACACAAGATCATTCTCCAAGTGAGAAGTCTTGAGTTCCATTGATTGCACTATCTCAAACCTTTCTTAGCTATAGCACCCCCCTATGTGGATTTCAATTTTTTAGCCCCATTCTACTTAGGGATTTATCCCACTTAGTAAATAGCTTATACCCCCTATATATGGACCAATTACTTCATCCCCTTTTCTATTGAACATATATATATAATTTAAGATATATTTTTTTATTTATTTATATATATATAATATTATATTATATATTTATTTATTTAGATTTTATATGTTTATATTACATGAATATGATATATATATATACATGTGAGATATGGCTTCTACATGGCTTAACCATCAGACCTCCAAGGTGGATCCCTACATCGCCATGCAGTCGCGCACCGTGGCGGGTCCCGTGCCGGTGCCGTTGCAGTCGACGACGACGCCGACGCCCACCCCGCGGCCGCCCAACAGCATGGCGCGGCCCGTGGCGAACGGCGCGCCGGCGCCGGCCGGCAGCGCCGTGCCCCCGGCCCCGCAAGGGACACCAGGGCAAGGCCGGGAGGATGGAGAGATGTTCCCCACTTTTTGATGACTGGTTGGTCAATTGGGGTGCCAGTGATTTTAACTTGGGAACCTATCCTTAACTGATTGGTGGTTTGGAACATGACTTTGATGTTTCCATATATTGGGAATGTCATCATCCCAACTGACGAACTCATATTTTTCAGAGGGGTTGAAACCACCAACCAGCCTACTTTTTGATGATGTTGAATGATGTTTATGGATTTTTTGGGAAGGGGATGATCCCAGCGTTTTTTGTGTTTTTTCTGGCATTGTTTTTTGGTGATGACATTTTGCTGAGTTGATTGGTTTGAGAACCAATTTTTGAGAGAACTATGTGAGGAACTGGCAAGTTTAGGGATGGTTTACTAGAAGATTGAGATCAGGATCGGTGATGTAAGGGCCATGTCCACCTACAGCGCACTAGATTAGATATTTTATCAGGTTAGGATGTGCCAAGTGTAGGAGGTGTGAATGGGGATTCAAGCTGTTCGCTGTGCTAGGAGGGATTCAGGATGCGGTTTGTCAAGGGGCAACCAAAGAACTGGTGGTTGTAGATCTCTTTATCAGTTTTATTTCAATCTAAGAATTATAACATGATCACTATGATCAAAATATATCAAAGGCATCAAGAAAAATACCCAGATAACGATCATATTATGAGCACCCAGATGATAATATGATACTTCAATCTAAGAACTGGTGAAGCATCCCATGGGGATCCAGGTCCGCCGGCTCCGGGTCCTCCGGGTCCACCTGGGCAGCCAAGCGCCCCTGGGATGGGAGCCTATGAGCAGGACAGAAACTGGATTTCACCCAGAGAAAAACTGCCGGAAACGAGTTGATTGGTATTTTTTTGTGACCGTCCAGGAGGAAAATTGGGATGTTCGTAGGATCCATTTTTTGGGGGATGTACCGATCCAATTCGCCACCAGGTGTTTTTTTCATGTTTATTTCCGTATGTCAGTGGCATGCACTTCTTGGAAAGATGCCCTGACGACTCATAAGCAGGACCCTTTGCTGGATGACGTGGAGTCGGGTGTGGCTTGGACTATCTTGGACTCATCGGATGGATGGGATGATTGTCATGTCCCCCTTTCCCTACTAAGCACCAGTAAGTAACATTATATACCCACTGGTAAACGAACATAGCTATTGAAAATCACCATTTTTATTGGGTAAATCAACTATTTCTATGGGCCATGTTCAATAGCTATGTTAGTTTACCAGAGGGTAGCGAGAACCCATATCGTATGCTCCATGTTTGTTTTATTCAGGCATGGGTTGCAATTCCCATCTACGGCAAGAGCTGCAAACCTTGACCTTCTGAGCTAAGAGGTTAATTTCCGGCATTGGTGACGGAAGGGTGGTAAATCAATCGCCGACCTTTTTTTTATAGCTACACGGGTAGGTGAGAGCGTGTGCGCACCAAAAAATGAGATCACACACGTTACATTGGGATGAAGCCGCCATAAATCCTCTACCAAATATTGATGATGTAAAAGATGTTGCATGGATATCCTCCCGCAATCATCGCAAACTAATCATAACCAATCCCAAAAAAAGGCCGGCACCCCAAAAATGAAAAGATCCAGCAATACTTGGCGCCAAGTTTCTGGGGGGTGTTGAAGCCCAAGCCGTGCCGGAAGTTCAGAAGTTCATACTGTGGATGGTTAAGAAAAATCCTGCACCAGTTTGGGTAGATGGTTTATCCCATTATAATCCCACCATAATCCCATTATTGATAGTGCTTTGTGGTTACCCATAGTTACCAACTGGTGAAAAATGGATTTCGCGGTTGCCATCCACAGGATTTCGCGACTGCACCACCGAGGAGACCGTGTTACAGGAGGAACGTACCGACCACGAGGAGGAAGACCATTCCTCAGGCACGGGGCTTGTTGGGGCTTGTTTTCGCGGTGGGTTTCGTGGCGGCTCGCAAGAAAGACATGAATGATATTAATGTAGTCATAATACATGTAAATCCATGTAAATCACCTGATCTCATTGATACCAATGGTTTTGAAATGTGTTTAAAATCGGTATTTTCATGATTTTTTGATATTTTTTGGATAACACTGATATTATTGGAAAACATTGATATTAAATGATATCAGCCCCTTTTTGAGAGTGGTATTACTCTAAAGAACCCCTGATGCCCCTGCATATTCAAAATGGTTCGAGGATTTAGGCATCAACAAATTTTTGGATGTTTCCACGGGTTGCTTGATATTGATAAGATACCAAACAAGAAATGGAGAAACTGCACATGATTGTGCGACTCAAAGAAATTTGCTGGGATTACTGTGATCGTTTGACTTCATTTTGGGAGAGAGGACCTATGATTTTCAAAATGGCAGAGTCAACATTCATTTGGCAGCTGTTTTGAGGCATGCTAATCGGGTTGTCATCCATAAACTGCCTTGCAAACGGTTTGGAAATTGCATGTGAATGAGATTGAATGAGTATAGATGTACTGATCGACACTTGCAGCTGT